TTTATCAACTGAGTTGATAATGTAAGTTTGCCACCGTAAAGAGTTTTAAAACTGACGTTTCGAGCGCCAGCCCTTCGTCAGAGCGAATGACGAAAGGCTACCTAACGCTCGAAATGTCCGCTTTGAAACTCTTATATTGAAGGAGTTGCCTTTCGGATCTTGACTTGATCTCGTTCTATCTCAAACGCTTTAGATGAAATATTTAATTTTTTACCAGTGAAAATTTCGCTGATCTTCCTCAGTCATAGTTATCCTTGTTCCTTTCCAGTTTATTCAAGCTGTTCGTTGTATTTCAACTCGATAAAGATCGACATATCTACAGAAAGTCGTAATCACTAATGTTAGTTTTCATTGGTTTGATTGTAGACACTGACAAACCCATAATTTCCGCCAAGAGCCTAAAGGCCGAGGGCCTCGATTCCGTCGTGGTGTTCCACTGTAATATCAATGACAAAGATGCCAAAACCTGGGAAGCTTTGAGGTTTCTTCCGCTCTGCGACATCGGTGCCACTTTTTTCTTCGATGCTGACTTCGACGAGGTTACTTGGGATGCGGAGGAGCGTTTTTTTAAATGCCTTAAGTCTAAAGTACGATCAGCTCGCAAAAACATTACAGAACTTAAGCGAAATGTAACCGGAGAAGGCATAAAATCACACTCTTGCAGAGAGTTTCTAAAGCAACAAGACATCCTAAAGTTTCGCTTCAAGTGGGTTTACTTCTCTAGCCTGTCACAGTACCTTATTCCCTTTGGCGCACTTATGGGGGCAAACGTACTAGCGTTTATTTTTGGTTCTATCTATGATTATTGCTCCCGTGAAAATAATAAGAGGAAGAGCCTGAGGAGAGGAGGTGATTATAATTCTTCTTGACTTACTCCTTTTTATTCAATCTGAATCTTTAAAAATCGCGGGCGTACAGAGTCATTTCGAAAAATGTAAAGATGGACTTTCAAAATTCTTCTTAAGTTTTCGTGGTCCCAGAAAGGAGCCTGATAAGCTGAGGTTTGTTGTTTACAGCGAAAATTGCTTGACATCTTGCAGTCTTTACGTACAATCTCGCACTTTCTCCCTTCCTCCCCGTTTCATTCCTTTGTGAGCGGCGTGTCGAGCGCTATTTCTATCATTTTATAGAGCCAGCCATATTAGACCTTCTCTTCTTGGTTATAATCTCTTTAAAGTATAGATGTGGTATATGTTGAATTTAGCTCACATGCATTAGCTCTCTCGCGTTGCCGTGGAATCCGTTGTGGACATATTTGCAATTTACTCCCCGTTATCAACTAATGGCACTGTGTGGTTTCAAGCCTCTCAACAGATAGCGGGGAAATAAAGATACAAATTAGATACGAATCAGATAGGATAAGGGCAGGTCCCCTTGTGTCTTTTCCTCAGAAAATTTTGATTACTATCAATCTTATATCTTTTATATCAATATCAATCTTATATCTTTGTTCTATATTTTTCTTTAGAGAACTCGCTCAAATCTGAGCCAACTCAAACAAGCTGCAGTTCTCAAAAATCTGGTAACGACTACAAAGAGGTTATGACTGCCAATAGCAAAGTGTAACTTTAAGGAGTTGCTGCATTTAGAAGTACTATTACAGATTCGAAATGCAATAGTGGATGGATTAATTGCGTCTACAATGGAACTGCTAAAGCTTTGTGTTCTTGCCATTTGCTCATTAAACTTTTCCGGCTGAAATTAACGGATTTTACAAGGTTTATAAGTAATTAATAAATGAAAATAAGTAAAGAAATAGTTTCAACGAGTTTTTCTTTTCACTGGGAATACAAATGCGTACGTTTTGTACACACCCAAGCTCAAATGCGTTCAGAATTTCAGTCAAATTTAAGTTTGTCATGACAGCTCGTAGAAACTGACAAGGACGAAAATTTAAAACAATTGCAAATGATGGAGTGAGAGGTTCTCAAAGCGGAGTATGGTCTAGTATATATACTTTATTAATAGATGAAAAGTTTTATGAATTGAACAGTAAATGATTTAATTTCGTCCGAGAATTGATATTCGACAGTGTTAGCATACTGAGTCTGATCGCCCGGGTGAGAGTTGACCTGGGACCGAAGAACTGTCGCAGGTAAGAGTGACTGACGTTTTGACAACCTTGACAAAAGTCACCATCAGAGTCGAGTCGGATGACATCTCGTCTCTCTCCATCCTCTTCCCACACCGTCCACTCTAACTCTGTCAAAAATGGCCGCCAGCATGTATCACTAACTCTTCCTAAGAGAACACCTGTATTGATCACCCGTACGACTAGACTGCACGATCAAAAGACAAATTAATGTTATTGATAACATTTTAGTAGGCAATTTTCAAAGGTTTTTGGATTGTTAAGTAACCTAGAATAATGTTAAAATGGACTTATAATTTAGCCGTTTCCTTTATAATTGTATTGCAACGGATGCTATCTGATTGCTAATAAAACGAGTATATCCTCCAAAAGGGGAAATAAACCTTTGTAGAGTAATTGTTAGAGTATTGAGATGCTCGTTAGAGCAATATAAGGATCAGCTTAAAATCAAGTTTAGCTCTACAAGGCGGTGATTCTATAGCTACAGGATTGAATTTCAGAAGACTTGTTTTATTTCCTTTTCAATTACACTTTACTTTAAATTTCAACCTCCTATTTCTGTACCATATGATTATTATCTCGGAATAAAAAGCCGCAATGCACATACATATACACACACATATTTAACTATATTTTTCTTTTCATGAACTGCAACAAACAATGTTGGGTTCGAAGCTGAAGTTTCCCTCTAGAGCAAAGAGAAAAAACAAACAAACAAAAAACAACAACAAGAAATAAACAAACAAACTAACAAACAAATGACATACGACTAAACTGCAGTGGTTAGACAAAAAGGGTTGTCTTCTATTACTTTTTTTCCTTCCGCATCTCTATTGTACTTCTCTGTATATTCTTCCAAGAGATCATAACTTCCAGCTTGATTCTACCCAATGTTTCGTTCAATGTTTCACTCTTCGCAAGTAGTCGAGGAGAGAACCGGGAACGAGAAAAAAAAAAGATAGGAAAAAGGACTGGGTCTCGCAGTGGTTACTTAGCAACAGCAGACCGCCATTTTTGTTTTGTGGAGGTTTAACAAGATCGAGAGCGACTCTTCATTGATAAAATGGCTCATACTGTCATATCCATGAAGTTACCCCCAAATATAGATCCTACGAAAGCACGTCTTGCTTATGGGGGCCGTGCACTACCAAAACTAGTGAGTGTAATCATAACGTTAATCATTCAGTTGCAA